CAGCTTCCCCGATACATTTCGCAGACCTGTTGCCGGCGTGCACGCACCTTCCCCTGACAAATAACACGAACACCGTCTATTTCGGTTCCTGATTCTCCTTCGAGCACAACAACCCCTTCGTTATTTCAAATCGTTTGCGCGTTGTATCGCGAACAAAGTTTCTTCAAACGACGCAGCGATGATCGCTCGGGGATAAATCGTAGAATTCGGACGGAGCGTCGTCGTTTCAACGTTGCTTCCAGCTTCGGCCGTCTTCGCTCGCGGCGGCGCTAGTTGCACGTTCCACGTAAACCGTTGGTGGTCGACGCGGCGAAACAATTACAAAGTGGGGCTTCCACTTGTGCGTCCACGGAGCTGATTTTTCGCCGTTCACTCATAACAGACGATGACAAATATGTGATCGTTTTTTGTTTTGGGAATGGCGCAGCCAATGCAGAAATATAGGAACTACAAACTAGATGTGAAATTGGGAGTGTCAGAAGGGGAAATACTGAAGAAAATCTAGAAAGCTGACTAAACAGGTCGTCATCACGTTTTTGTGATATTTGTAAAACTATATCTTTGCTTGGAATATTTGAATAAACTCCATTAAAATTACGACGTATATTTTTTTTTAATCTTGATACTGCCGGTCCCAACGAAAAGTCCTTGTCACTGTCAGTCCCCAGGGACCGACGCCACATTTAACCCCCTAATCTTGTCATACCAGAAAGACAACTGCAGTGGGCATGACGACACGAAAATTTCAAAAGTAACATGTGACAATATTTTGTTCAAGTCTAATCGTCGTAAAATATGTTCTCGAAATAAATAGTCAGCAACTGAAGGAAAAAAATTCCCCATTGTGAAACAAGTTATTTTTAAGCGAGCCAAAAGTTAATCCCCCCGAGTTGAGAGATGTTAACACGTTATAAGAGTCGTGCAGTCGGGACCGACGATGGACTTACGCTTGCGAGGGATGGTGTGTTCTACGAATTGACATCGAAAAAAAGAAGAGTGGGGGGAAAATTGATGGGGATAGCTTAAGCGGGGAGAAAACACCATTCGCTTTCAATTTCGCGAACGATGCAGAAAATGTATCCGCGCGCTCTCCTCTCTCTCCGTCTGGTCTCTGTCGGCCAGAGAATATAGAGTCGGGGTTGGTTGGCTTACGTTAGCGAAGCCTGGTTTCTGCAGTTCGTCATCAAAGCTTGGTACAATAAACACACACTCGGGGCCACCGCGAATCTCACGCCTGATTCCTTCGGGCGCGTGCTCGAAATTTCTCTGTGAATCGAGAAAGAGGGAGAGAGAGAGAGAGAGAGAGAGACTCTCGCCAGCCCCGACGATAACCGTCTTCCGGTGGCTGGCTCTCCGCCATCTTCGCCCCGGTTGATCGATCAATTTCCGCGATAAGAAGCCAGGCGCGACAATGCTTCCTCTCGACATCCGGTGCAATTCTCCGGAAAACGGGATCGGATGAATTTTCCAAACCGGAGTCTC